GCTCATTTTGTTTTTTTTTTTCCCCTTCTTCTTTCCGTTCATGTCTTTGTCACTGCTGGTGGAATGAGACGGTACCTGCAGCTCATTCAGGCTGGATCTGGGCATGGGTTCATCTCCTCCAGGATGGCACATCCATATCGACCAGCACATTCTCAGGAGTGTGATGGGTCATTAAAAACAGAACTGGACGGAGCCTTATTTGCTCCTGTTTTTATTTATTTAATTAACCTTTATTTAACCAGGAAGATCCCATTGAGATTAAAAACCTCTTTTTCAAGGGAGACCTGGCCAAGATAGGCAGCAGCAGATGTCTCACAGTTACAGAAATTACTCAAACACAGGCAGCAACAACACACATGCAACAATAAGTGAAAGAATACAAATAAAATAAAATAAAATTCAATAAAATTCAATAAAATAAAAAGTCAGTTAAAATGACATCAATCTAATTGAAACATTGCATGTTATGGACTTGGCCTCCTGTGTGAGGAAGAACAAAGTGAGCTTCTGTGCTCGTCTCTGACCAAACTGTCAGATCCAGAATCCACAAGGGGCCGGCGTCCTGCAGTGAACAGATACCGTGCAGCTGGATTAATGTCCTGTGGTGTCTGCATGGGTGTAATGGGTGCTTCCTGTCTGGACACATTGATATCTGCGAGTTCAGCTGACTTTGTGTTATACTGCAATGATGCGGGAACAAAAAAACACCTTCTCTCTGAGTGTGAACCTCAAATGTGAGTTATCAGGACGTTTGGAATAAAATCATAATGATGGCCACAGTGAAGCTGCTGACTTTCATCCAGGAGTGTATTCCACTCTCTACTCTGTCCCTGATAATTTGAACCTCTGATACATTTGTCATGGCCGACACATTCGGACCATCACAGTTAGACTCAGGGGAAAACTCCATGGCTCATATTCGATGATTACATCGATAGTAATGACAGAAATCTTTGTGTCCATCAGCCTGCAGATTTGAGCACACAGCTGCCACATTCTGCTGAGCTTCCCACAGACATCCACACTGCTGAAGGTCACAAGTACTGAGAGAAAATCTCTTTTCTTCCTACTCAAGTTTAAGGCAACTCTTAATAATCTCCAGCACTTTATGGGGAAAGTTTGATTCCTACAGGACAAGCTTGTCTCTACTTAATGTGTAAATTTTCACAGCAAGGACAGGACTGTACTTATCAGTGCTCATGTCTATTTTAGGGGGCCTTGGCTGAAACAAACTGATCAACAATTTCAAATGTGAATACAAAGTGATGACCCGCACCGTGCTTTGTTGGAAAAACTAATATACAGTAGGAGTGTGAAAAGTATGAATTTTTTGTGCTCCATATCGCCCCCTCTGGTGACTGAAATCCCACTTACTCAATAATAAAAATGGCATCAAATTGTGGAGATGCTGAACTGAATTTGTGCTTATCATAAACTTTTATTTCCCCACATTTATTTTTATGTGATGATCTAAGAAGCTCTGTAAAAATCTCAATATGTTTCTGTTGAGGAAACCATGGCGATGCTAATTTCTGCACTGACTGGCTAAATAAAGATGAAGGAGAAGCTCGATGCAGAAGAAAGATGGTTTCCTTCCTTTTTCTTTAACTGCAGAAAATTTGTGCCTAAATGTCACCAAACAGCAGCAGAAAATCAACCATAACTGCGAAAAAAGCTGGAAACTGAAACCTTTTATTAAACTGCTTTATTCAAAGATCTGTTTGTGTGGAGACAGAGAGGACAGAGCAATTTTTACTTTCCTGCTGAGAAGAAGAGTCGTGAAAGCTTCACCACAAAAAGAAAGAAAAACATAAATTAACATTTGAATCGAGGAAGTTGGAGCGCCCTGCTGTGCAGTCATATGAAAGCATCTCTTCCTCCTTCAGCACAGAAAACAGAAGAGGGTCAGTCAGTCGGAGTTTAAGTGTTTGGATAATTTCCACGTGACCCTAGAAACCATTATGCTGAGAGGGTATGAGTGCCGTAAAATGGCTCCAGTAAGAGCAGAGAAAAGAGGCTTTTAACAGCAATTACAGCAAAGCGGGCACTCGTCATTATTAGTGACAATGGTAAACTCTGTGTGAGCAGCCAGCTCACGGGCAGCACAATCAAGCATCTCAAAGTTTCTTAACTTTACTCCCATTTCTTATTTTAGGGTAAAGTTGGAGTTTGAGGTGCTCAGGAGCAGTGAGTGTGAATACACTTACATGCAAGTATGAAAACACACAGTTCAGCTCCACTTTTCTTTTATTGGGGACATGAAAGCGAAATTGGAAGAAATCTTCTTTGCTATTGTTAGCATGGCTGCTCTATCACGACTATATGGACATCAAATTAAGAACAGCAAGCTGGAGGAGAGAGAAGCTGGGAGTTTATTCATTTCCACCCAGCATGAAGACAAGGAGCCACATTTAACCTCATTTACAGACAACAGAGAATGAAACCTGACCCTGATTAGCGGCCTTAAGTAGACTAATATGAGCTGAACACGTGAAAATGTTTCACTTCATAGGAACTGAGGAATTTTGGCCTTAAACAGGACAAAGGTTCCAAGTTCAGACAGGAGTGACACGGCTGCTGACTGCTGTTTCTGGCTATCAGCAGCAGGAAGTGGCATCCACATTGACCACTTTATAGACAAAATCTTTAGATGGTTGAGTAACTAAAGCTCCACACTGAAAAAAAGTGGTTAGACATATTTTAAATAACAGTCCTTTAAGGCGAAACAGGAGAAGCCCCACAATTACATCATTTAGTTCCAATTGGGTTTTTTTTTTAAGGCATTTCTATATGAGTAAGAGAAGCTAGCTTAACAGTAGACTCATGAGCTTCATTAGCTCCCTGCTAAAGGTGCAGATGACTTGCAGGCAATGTTCCCTCTGCTGGCACGTCTCTGCGCACAGAAAATCTAACCTGAATTGAAACTAAAACAAATACGTTAACAATTCTGTTTTGCAGTTTAAGTTAGTAAGTGACCGGAAACTGGCTGCTCCACCCAATGATGCGATTCACATTCGTATATACGCAGCTAATCAACGTCGTTTACGGGAAAGACTAACATGCTTTAATTGTGCTAAACAGCTCCACATGAATAACTAGCACGAGCTAATTAGCACAATGTTACGTCATGGACATTATTATAAAATTTTTGCTTTGCGGAGAGACGTTTTTCCTGCAATAATCCAGAACACACCATTAGCTTTTCTGCAGAGGGAAGCAGGGCGATGCGTTGACCCTTGATTTCCTTTTCTTTTGACTTTTTGAGGTTTAATTTAAAGTTTTACTGAGTGTGACACAGAGCTGCTTTTATAAACTCTGTTTGCATTTATACTCTAAGAACAGCATAAAGTGGGGGCGCTCTTCAGGGCGGTCCTATAAAGCACAATCACTATGAACAGCTCAATAAAGATTTCACTCTTGTATCTGATTTCATGTTAAATCAAACGGCGTCAGCTCTTACTGTAAAGCACACCGGTGTTTTTGGGCTTGTGGGTGAGCGGTCGTTTCTCTCTCTGGGGCTTTCCTGTCCTTTGTGCTTTGGGACACTGAAGAACACCCTCTGTGTGTCTCTGTGTGTTTGTCAACAGGAGGCCTTTTCCCCGGTGACTCCCATGAGTACGAGGTGTTTCGTTTCGCCCTGGCACAAAACCAGGACATCCCCAAGCTGGTGCCACAGGTGGACATGGTGGACACGAGCAGCAGTTTCGCCATGACCTACGCCTGTAAGTTCATAGACCGATGGCGCTCTGGGGGGGCCAGAGGGTGACTCTTTGTTGGTGTTTGGGGTATTTTACCACATTTTTAACTGAGCTTTTTAATTCTGGTATAAACAGCATTTTGTGCACCTGTGCTTCAGCAGTTAGTTTCCATGGAGCGTTTCTACTTGATTTAATTTCATTTTACAAAGCGGTTCAGGTGCCATGCTCATCTTTTAGATATCTGAATTGATATGAATGAATGCAAGCAGGAGGACCTGGTGCATAAATCTTTGAAACAAAGCATCTCCGGCTGTGCTTTTTTTTTTCCTTTTCTTTGTGCACTCATATCCCAGATTCCAAAACGCAGCGGGGCATAGAGGATGTTTACCTCACACTGGTGCAGTTGGATCAGATCAAAGTTGAGTTTTGCTCAACAGTTTTGGGATGGAACTGGCTGCCACTGGTCCGGTGGATTTGGAGGTCACTCTGCTTTGCTGAAATGTAGCAACAACACGGTTTATTAACTCTACAAACAGTCTGATGTTTCCTTTCTCTGTAATGAAATTATCAGCGCTCACTGTGGAGTACTTTTATTATTTCATAACAGCAGACAGAAAGGAGTGGCTTCGCTCAGAGTTTGCTCAACATTTATGAGTGAAGCCGTCATTAAAGCATCATCCAGCTCAGCCTGTGGTGATCAGCGTGAACTCATCAAGGAAACAATTACAAGAAAAATAAGAACCATCTGCAGAACTCGGAGACATTTGCAACAATCAGAAAGCTTGTTTATATGAAAATGTAAAATGTACCTTCATAACTTATGACCTGTGTGCTCCAGTCCCCTGACTTTGATGTACTTATTTTCGGCTATATGTGGATGTAAAAATGTAGTTTATCTGTCAGGTTACACGTGCCCAAACAACTGGCAGAGCTCATATTTGAATAACACTGCAGCTGTTTCATCATCGGCTTACTCCGCACGGTCTCTTACCACAAAGTGCTCCAAACATCTGAATCACATTCCTCCCACGACGTCAGACATGCCGCTGGTGTCCTGCAGCACCGATGCTTCTGCTGCGGCATTATTAGATCCGGAGAGAAGAATGTCTCAACTTCTCCGAGGTTTCAGCACTTCTTAATGTTGGTGTGTGGAGTTGCAGGCTGACAGGAGACGTTCTACATGTATGAAGTAATAGAGCGATTGTTGTGACAGTGGAGTGCGCTGCATTCGAGGGCTCGCTTTCAGGAACCAAACAAACAGTCTCTGCAGCTGATGCTGCTCCGGCTTCATTCACTGGAACTGAGAAAGTGTCAAAAAAGACATGAAGAACATTACTGGAGATCTTGATCAGAGAGCCAATGATGAGTTAGAAAATAATGGAAAAAGTCCAGGAGTATAAAAGAGTTTTTACAATAACTTTAGCATTTTTAAGATAAGATCAAATAACCTTTTTTAGTCCCACACGTTCAAATTTTTTTGGTCACATGCTAAATCTATTTAACACTTTAAAGTCAAGAGTTTATATGAGTTTCTGAGACTTCTACATCATCACTGTATATTTTAGCGATGTTAAAATTTGGTGTTTGGTGATTTGCCCTCTTAACTTCACAAAGGACAAATAGAATTTGAATTTTAAGGGCTGAAAACAGATTTCGGGTCAGTTTAACTGCCCCGCTGCTTTGCTTTGACCGCAGTTACAAGGCAGCAAATTGTGCCATAGTTCTATTTCCAGACTTTTTATTTTGGAAGGTTTGAAATGATTTTTAAAGACAGGATTTTGCAGCAATACATGTTTAAGACTTCAGTGTCAAATTCAGCAAAGCAAATTTCCTGCCGGTTATTTTTGGGTCTGATGATATACACATGTTTTTGTAGCTACTGATGTGCGCTTTTGCTCGGATGCTTTTGTGCATTGTTGTGTATCATTTGGCTCTCTGTGGTGCTTGTCTGACTGGGTTTTTTGAAGGGTTAGCCTGCCGTCCGCTGCACTCACCGTCATGGGTCAGTGCATCATTCTCCCGTCATCCAGACTTCATTCAGCAGACCTGGGATTTACAGGGTAAACACAAGTACATGGAGCCTGGCTTCAAAAGGGCACGTTGCGGCAGTAAATGGACGCAGACCATGGGGAGCTTGCCACTAAATGGACTCTGGCTCCGGGGAGCGTTCTGTACAGTGCAGGCAGGTTTAGACAATAATGTGCTGACCTGTTTCATTCTGCCCCAAAACACTGAATTTACCACCTGAATGTTCAGCTGCTGCTACAATGAATCAGTTCAACCTCAGACACGAGGCTTCATGTGTGACATGAGCTGTTTAAAGAGCTACAGTACGAGTGCTTAATCACACTGAGTACAGACCACAGCACATGTCATCACTTAACATCATTAGACAACAGAGGTCATTACAACTTATTTAAACTGAGTATTTCACATACATCACTCTGGAACTCAACTCTTTAAATTAAGAAATCAACCTAGCAACACTTTATCCTTCAGTATTTAGCATTAAAAACAGAGTTTAGTTGTCCTGAAAAAAGTGATAATGTTGGTACTCGTCAGAAAGGTGATGCTACTCAAAACACTTGGTCCAGTAAGTTTTTGGGCCAACGCAGTAAATAATAGAAAACACAATACAACAATTTGTGGTCATTTATTTAGAAAAATGTGACTAGTAGCTATGATTCTTATTTAACATGGACATAAACGTATTTATTGTATGCTTTAAACCGATGAGTTGCTCAGGTATATTTGGGGAGTCATTTAAACATTTTAAAAATCTTGTTTTTATGACAACAGTATGATTAATTTACAATTGGATAAACAAACTTTTAAGCCTCAGTCTCGACCAAAGGGATGAATTCTTATTCTTGTTATACTTCTTTGAAGTCCGCTGTCTGAGGTTTATTTGTAGCTGATGTTTTCTAATTAAAGTATCTGCAGATGAGTCTGCGCAGTCAAGAAAATAGGCAGTCTACACGGATCCTTGTTCGCCATGTGTGGTATAAGTTAGACCCCAGCAAACCTCAGCAGGGTCACAGACATGAAAAGTATCCTCAAGACTTTATGTCTGAAATTTGAGTTGTTGCTAAATTAGCTAAATTACACATGCTAATCAGCAATAGGTAAAAGACTACCGACCACAATTTCTTCAACGATGAGTTAGTACAACCAGCTGCACAGAAAGCTCCACCATTTGTCAGATAACTGCATTAGAAAAACTGCAAAAGGCATCAACAACACAAACATGATCCAGAGATCCAATTCAGTGACTCCAATTAGTAGACAGCTAGCAACTGCAGTCATCTGTGTTGCAATCCATCCATCAGTCTAAGAGGCCACGCCCCTAGTAATGCAAACTTGAAAATTCATCATTATCCAAGTATTTGAGTTATTAAAGAATTCACCCACCAGGAGGCTAAGGTTCAGGAGGTAGCGTTGGAAGGTTCCCCGGCGCCTTTAGCCTGCGTGGAAGTTTATCCTGAAAAGTTGTCCACAGAGCCTGATGTTGCAGTGTGAATGTGTGAACTTAGGCAAAAACATGGTTGTATGATCGTCTGTGAATAAGTGAAGGAGGCTTGTTGTAAGAAAGTGCTTTAAGTGCTCAAATGGAGTGTAAAAGTACCCATCCCTTTATACACAGATGTAATGAAGCAGCTGAGAGTTGGAACATTTTTCGAAGTAAGACATAAACATGTTTATTTCTGCTGTAAAGAGATTTTATCAGGCAGTCTACAGGGACTGATCACGGTGCACATTCACTTTGATGATTGGTGCTTTACCTGGACCTGACATTTCCCACGGCCGGCGGAGCGGACCAATGTGTCACAGTGAGATTCTCCTCCATAATGCAGAAAGTCTCTAACGTTGCTATCTTGAGATGCTTTGTGGATCCAACCTGTCCTCACTCCCAACTTATCACATGACCCGTTGGTGTCACCGCGGCTTAAACATGTTTAATACGAGGCTCTGATCTTCTGAAATAGATGGAATGAGTGTTGCTGGTGTTGTTGAGGAGTAAAATGTAATAAATGTTATTTATTACTGTGGCAACAAAGAAAATGTTGGAGGAGCTTGTTGCATTTTGACAAGCAGTGTTGGTGCCAATATTTCAAATCAGTGACAGAAAACTTTAAAATAAGAAATAAAAGTGACACAAACTGCAAAAAAGGCTCAGATGAACCTTAACATAAGGAAGTAAACATGACGTTGGTACCAACACTCGAATAAGAAATGCTTCATCGTCATCTCTGAGAAGCTCAAGTATTAACATCAGTTTATTTATTCATATTCTATCTTGAAGCCGGTAGTTTTAGCAGCTCCAGTCTCAGAATACTAAACAAAAAAATGCTAATGCTAATAAAAGTGGAATATAAAATCAGCTCTCAGTGGTGCAGCTGTGCTCTGCAGCATTAAAACTAAATCTGGAGTGAAAGACAATTGGACTGCACATTACACAGGTTAGTGTTGTTATGAGGGCAGATATTTCTTAATAACGTCCTCACTGATCATGTTTTACAGCCTAGCAGAGCAGATAATCCCAAAAACATGCTTCCAGTTCGATTGTGAAGTCTTTAGAACCAGCGCCATGTAGTTAATAAGCAACAAGTGCCTGTGTTTCTGCTGAGTCATACTTTATACATGCGTAGAGCCGCACAGAGCCGGTCGTCCTCTCTCATCTGACAGAATCGTTAGCTTTGATTTGGACGGGGCTCAGTCAGGATCTCAAAGTTTGATATTCACAATCTCTTTTCACCCAGTTTTTCATCTTTATTAACCCTTAAACGCACAGCCTGCTGGCTTGGATGCATTTGTTGATCTGAGTGTTTCAGGAAGACAAAGCGTCCGTCCATAGGAACGTTTCTAGACACTTGAGAGGGGTGAGGATTTTGAACCAACGTGTTCTCTATTACTATCATTTACGTACAAAATAAATATCTTTATCTCCAGTTTGGTACCAAAGACTTGGAGAAACAATGCTGAGGAGCACTAACGCTGCTCTGGTGACTCAGCACCTCACTAAG